ATATATATATATACAAACACACACATGCATGCATGCAGCGACGGAGCCAGAGCTTCTTTTTTTTTTCCCCTCTAAAGAATGTAAATTAACCAAAAGTTTAAACATAAAACTGTGCAACTTCTATTGTACAACTATTTGTCTATCTCTTACACTTCTTTTTATCTAATAATATTATATATATTTTTTTCATGAATTTTGTAATCTAATGTAATCCACACATTAAACTCCATAAAACTATAAATCTGGTAGTCTAGTTGATATTTGGTTTCTTTGTTGTTTTAACTTGAAATAGTAAGTACATTTAGAATTTAAAACTTCAGATATAATTGAAGCTTTAGAAACATCCTATGTAATACCAGGACACAATTTGTAAAAAAGCAAGAAACAAAAAAAAAAAAAATAATTGTGAGTGTAAAAATTGAAGAGAGCCCATTGGGTCTGCCTCTAGGCCCACTGTTCTCTGCTATTGTATATCAGTATATATGTACATATTTAGGGAACTAAAAAGAGTGTATAAGCTAGATTTTTATTCTTATTTTTAATTAATATTTTTTAAGTCAAATAACTATATTAGTTAAAAAGATATTAATTAAAAATAAAGAGTAAAAATCTAGACCCATGTATTTTAAGGATAAGTTTCAACAATTTTTACACATTTATATATTTTTGTATGGACAATATAGTTCCTCTTGAAATTTTAGCATCAATATGCAAATGTTTACACTATGCTTAACAATATAATGATTATCTCTCTTTTTCTTATTTATTTTATTTTTCTTTTTCCTTATTCTTTTGCAGGCGGATGATGGGCAAGGATTTGGATGGCTTGAGCTTTAAGGACTTGCAGCAAATGGAAGACAAACTGGCTGAAGGCATATTGGCAATAAAGAGCAAGAAGGTTCAAATTCGTTTATTTATTTTCTACAATTTGAAAATTATTCATCGTTTGAATAAAAAAAAAACTTTCTAATTCTTGGCCAATTAACTGAAAAACTTTCTGAATATAACACAATTTTCATGCAAAAATCATGATTGTGATCATCACTTAATTTTCATGGAATAAATGTAAGATTTCCTTTCAATGGCCTAATTAGAAATATTTCACATTTTGGCAGGAGCAACTACTTTTGGAGCAGGTTAAAAAGTCTACGTTAAGGGTAAAACTTTGCAAAAACCTTCATTAATATGGGATGTGGCTATTCCTATTATTCATTTGTTTTTATATACAGATCTAAATTTTATTATTATTATTTTAAAAAATCTATCATAGATTATATAATTTATTTTCTCTTTGGTACCTTAACAAGGAAATTAAAGAGTTTCACTAATGCAGACTTATTCAGCCATATATTATATGGTCATTTCATAGGGGGAAAAAAAAGATCGAAATCACATGATAGTCACAATTTGATGAAACTTTGAGGCATTTAAGCTTCTTAAAAATACCTAAATTTCTCTACAAATAACCAACCAACTTCTTTCTTTAAAGTACTAATTCTTGAATTTCAACACAAAAATATATATAATGATTTCTATTTTCTATATACATATCCTCAGGAGCAAAAAGCCTTGACAGAAAATGAGATTCTGCGCAAAGAAGTAAGAATTCGTAACTTGATCTAGCGTTTCAAATGCAATAAAATTACAAGAAAGCTATATTGTTTTATTCTGTTTTTGCTAATATATAGTTAACTCATTTTCACACTTTTGTATTTATATAAGTTGAACGAGATGAGACAAAACTATCTCACGCCTATCCTTACCTCCAATCCTCTGGACTGGAGATCATCATCCCTCAAAAGCACTACTAAATCTGTTGATCAGGAAAATGAGCATTTTGCAGACACCTCTTTGCAGTTGAGGTATATTGTGCCAATAATTTTATACTTTACATTTGTCTTCAATTATTTTTAGATAATATAGTAAAGGTATGGTGGAAAAATAGGAGAAGAAAAAATATTTCTTTATAATATAGTAAAGGTATGGTGGAAAAATAGGAGAAGAAAAAATATTTCTCATTCTCTGAATTAATTCTATACAGCCGGCCATCTTAGGGTTTTATACACAAAAGTAGAAAATATAAATTTCAAACTTTCTTAATATATCATATTTACAAAATTAATAGATTACGTTTTTCACAGGTATCACAAATGTAACTAAGGGCAATATAATGAGTCATAAACTATGAACTATACATTCACAGCATAGCAAATAGAATAAAACCGGCCGATAAGAAAATGTGAACTAATTACGTGTCATATATACTGTATATATTGTTATGTGATAGTTCTAATAATACGATGCTATATAATAATGATCACTTGTTACATCACTAATAATGAAATTTGGTGGGAATTTTTTTAAGGCTGCAGACAAATAAATTTGAGGCATAACCCTAAATCCTAATAGTAAGGATAAAGATTCTCTCCAGATGTTGCTAATTAGGAGAATTTACTATTATTTTTTGGAAGAAAGAGGAAAATAGGTCAAGACTTGAGATGAATTAAAATTAATAGGCCAATAGTTTACATAAGTTAATAAATAGGCAAAATTACTGTTTTTGTCCATAACTTGTTTGGTTATGAACCATAACTTGACAAGTTATTGTCCATAACTTATCTGGTTATGAACCATAACTTGACAAGTTTGTCCATAACTTATCTGATTATGAACCATAACTTGACAAGTTATGGCCTATTAATTTCTATAACTAAAAAATGACCTATATACTTTCTTAAGCTTTTCATATTGGCCTATTTCCTATTATTTTCCTTATTTTTTTCACTTAAAAAGAAAACTGAAAACTGAAGTTTTAATAAGCAAGGCTGCAACACTCGGAAGTCATTCTGAAAAAAAGCAGGTCTTCTTCCTGTTGATGGTTATTCATTTGGTTTATGTATATACACACACACATATATATATATATATATATATATGTATTTTTTTTTTCAGGTTGTCATCAGATTTTGGTCGAAAGAGGAAAGCGCCCAAGATTGAATCCAGCACTTCCCCCGAATCAGCTAGTCAAGTGGCCTCAGAGTGATTGAAATTGCTAGATGAAATTACAAGTTATTGTCATACAGTTTGTAGTTTTCTTTGCTTCCCGTAATTATTAGAATTATTATTATTTTTTTGGCTCAGTTGTAGTAATTTTCTTTGCTTGTTTAGCCGTAATGATTAGTTTTAGAAACTTTGAGAAGCAAATGTTTTTTTTTTTCTTTTTCCTTTGGGAAGCGGAGAATCTTCATTGAAAGAAAGGACTACATCTCTTCTCCTATGAAATGGCAAAAAAAAAAAAAAAGAAAAAAAAAATCCACTCTCTTCTCTTAAGATACTTTGTCAAATTAATAAATTCTCTTTGTACTTACAAATTAAGCTATCAAATGAAAAAAAAAAAAGAAGATGTTCTGAAGAAGTAAAGAAAACTTAATAAAGAAACACATCTAATAGTAATTAGCATATTATTTATATGAATATATGAAGTACTAGTAAAATTTAAAAAAAGACAATTGAAAACTAAAAATGTTATACACACACGTAACTGGTCATTAGTGAAGATATTCAAAGTAAGTTTCAAATAATTTTTGGCTATCATTGACTTTAATTTTCATGTACACAAGGCAAGGGTCCAATCGAACATCATTATAACTTGTTTCATTCACGTGTGGGGGGCGCTAATAATAGCTTATAATCCTAATAGGGTGCCTAGTTGTGAAGACTTTGGATGGCCACTTTTCATTTTATAGGCCACGAGTCACCTCTTTGTTACACCTCAATATCTCTTTTGAGGAATCTTTGGTTGAGCGGAAAACGCGTGAAAAGAGCAGCACTTGTTTGTGATTGGCTTTTGGTCCTTACATATATTACGGGTCATTATCAGTCCGTTTAGTTCGTTGATTCGAGTTTTTAATTTGAATTGAATTTTATATGAGAGTTTTTTTATTGTAGTAAAAAGGTTAGATATGACTGTTTTTGAGAACTTTTTACTGTAACAAAACTCGAATCAGTGAAATGAACGAAACCTTAATTCTCGTTCATATTCGAGTTTTTAATTCGAATTAAAATGTAATTTTATATAAGAACTTTTCACTGTAGTAAAAAAAAAAATTAAAAGTGATTTTTTATTAGAGTTTTTAACTGTAGTGAAATTAAAATTAAAAACTTAAATCGGTGAATGAACGAGGCCTTAAAATTGTGGAATTCAAATGATTACCGTCTAATTTTTAACCTCCTAACTAACTATATTATATCATGTTATTTAATTAATTTAAATATTAATATATAAATAAAATATTTTTCAATTATTTTAATGACTTGATATAATATACATTGATTACACATCGTTTAGAACAACAAAACTGATAAGTGATTAGATTGTAGAATTATGCATGAAGGCAAAACGCGTGAAAAGAATAACAATGATTGTTGTTTTGAGTCAAATTAAGAAATTTTTAATAGAAAAATGGAATTGTATTATTCAATTGTAGTATTAGCAAGTACAAAAGGGCTAATAAAATAAAGCGAAATATTTATCTGAACATAATCTGAAGAACAAAAATATAATTAGGTACCAAATTCCCTTTGGGAGTGACTGTTCTACTTTTCATTTTTTTCAGAATAAAATAAATAATTATGAGTTTTGTTTTAATTTGTGATTAGCTAGACTTAAAATTATAGTTGATTATACTTGTTACTACTGATATGGTAATAAACAAAATAATATATACTTAGGGCCCGTTTAGTTTGCTAGTTCGAGTTTTTAATTTGAGTTGAGATGTGATTTTATGTGAGAGCTTTTTACTGTAGCAAAAAGCTAGATGTGACTGTTTCTGAGAGCTTTTTACTGTAGTAAAACTCGAATTCTAAATTCGAATCGATAAAGTGAACAGGACATTAGTTTACCAAAGATATTAGATACTCAAGTCATGATCATTACCTCATGCTCATTACTATATGTAATATTGGTATTTCTATTTGTTTACAATGTTGATTGAAGGTTTGAATCTTGCTTCTTCTTTTTTTTTTTGTTTTTGATGATAAGAGAATCTTCCAATTTTATTAACAAAAAATGTATAAATACAAATCATTCAAGCGTAATTCAGCAATAAATAACTGTAGCATATCACTTATTTCTCTGTGGCTAGAGTTTTCATTTCCCCTTCTCATCTTTGCGCCGCCTCCGCTGCAAGTTTCAAAGGGCCAGAGTCTGTCACGTTTGAGCGGTGTTCTGGACTCTTGACCTTATAAGAAGGTGTCCAGATGTAGGAAGTTACTTCGTGCCACTTCATATTAAGAAGTCAACCATAACTTAACCTATTTATTAATCGTGTCAACCCGATTATAACCCAAATTCATTCATAGTAAATCTAAACCTGCTAAATTTGTGCAGATTTTGAGTCGTGTTGTTGTGTCGCTACCCGAATTGTCAGCCCTAATGTTCTAGGTTCAGATTTCTTTCTTTCTTTCTTTCTTTTTTAATTATTTTGAGTGGAGAGTTCTTTGATTTTTTATTTATATAAAAAAGAGTTCTCTAATGCATTTTGACATAAAAAATAATTTTTTTAATAGGTATGATTAATCTTCTATAATACCTTTTATTAATCTTTAATATCCACTTATCAAATTATAAAAAAAAACCTTCAAATTTATGCCATATCAACAAATCCATTAATATTATAGACGAACGTATACAGAAAGAGTATTTTGAACTGTTTTCTATATATTAGGGGCATTTTAAATCATTTTAAAAAAATTAAGAGGCATTTTGAAATAAGGTACATAGTTTAGGACATTTATGAAAATAATCTAAAGAAAATTAAAGTGGACAAGAGTAAAGATAATCTTGGAATGATAAGGGTGTGCAAAATATTAAAAAATTATATGAAGTGTGTATTTAGAAGGAGGTGTATAGAATAACAAAAAGAATGTAAATAGAAGCACCAGTTTTAAAATCATATGAAAATTAAACCATTTACTGCCATAATTAATTATTATAAAGGGAAAAAAAACTGCATTAGATTCCAACAAGTAATATTCTTTTGTGTAGCTTTCCTTTCAAGAAAGAATGATGAGGAATGATCTAATCAATACCCATGAATGCGATAGTGCATGCCTTGCGTCACTGTAGTACTTCTCTGACTATTAATTGTCCCAATATTGATCAAGTACAAATTGTGGATATTCAATCAAAAATGAAAAAAAAAGTACAAATTACGTGGACATATAAGATGACAAGATATGCAAGGGCGGGAGACGCATCTTATTAAGGGTATACGGCCTCCAATATATAAATATGTATATTGAAATTTTGCATGTATATTTTGTTAAAATTTGTAGTTTACCTTTCTAAAGTTTAGGTCTCGTTTATTTCGTCGATTCGAGTTTAGAATTTAAGTTTTGTTACAGTAAAAAGCTCTCAGAAACAGTCACATCTAACTTTTTTGCTACAGTAAAAAATTCTCACACAAAATCACATCTCAACTCGAATTACAAACTCAAATCAGCGAAGTGAACGGTTAGAAATTTATAACCGTGTTTGAAATTAATTTCATTTTTTGAGAAAAAAATAAAAATATTTTTAAAACGGCGTTTGATGCAATAAAAATAAAAATAAAAATGAAAATGATTTTTTAATTTAATGTAAAATGATAGAGAAATAAAAAATAATTTTTAATTTTTTTTAATTTTTTATTTTTGTTTTCTCCTCTCTCGAACAGAGAGAGAGATATATATATTAATGGGTTTTGTATACTGAAAATAATCTCTTGATAAAATTATCAAACACATTTTTAAAAATGATTTCTATCTGAGATTGAAAACGTTTTTATTTTCATTTTCATACAGAAAATAAAATCATTTTAAAATGAGTTCTAAACGCGCCCTATATTGTTCATTATCTCTCAAAATCTGAATTATATATCCGCTTATTCTCACTTGGTATATTAGTATTATAATTTGAATGATCAGAAAAAATTTCTTATTTTCAGTAGGCTCATTAAAAGAAGATTGCATACATACAAATGATTGAGATAGGAAAATAAGACATGGTACTCATCCAAAAGCCTGATATAGGAAACACAAGACAAAAGATCTTTAAAAAAATTTGACAAAAATAAGACAAAAGATATCTTTAAGAAGAATCGACATAAGACGTGAATTTTTTTTTATTTTTTATTTTTATAAATGTATAATTTACCCCCAAAAAATAATTAAAATTTATATGTCCATCATCTCTAAAAATATGAAATTATATATCCGCTTCTTTTTATTTATTTTTCTGGCTCCGCCTTTGAAAATATGGTACAGTAATGATCAGAAATGCAATTTCTTATTTCAGTGGTTTATCGAAAGGAGATATATGTGTACTGAGACAGGAAAATAAGATACGGTACTCACCCAAGAGATTGAGATAAGGAAAAAACACAAATCTTTAAAACGAATACCCTATCCTTTTTTTTTTTTTTTTTTTTTTTTTGCGAAAATATATTTATTTGCTAAAATTAGTTTTCATTTTGATAACATCTCAACATACGGGTACAATTTGTTGTCTTTTTCCATGATTGGAAGGGACTACTTCAAGCATTGTTTATGAATTTTAGCTATCATGAGTAGTATCTAATGAACAGTTAATTGATCTCAACCCAATTCTATGTAAATAATAATAATAATAATAATAATAATAATAATAATAATAATAATAATAATAATAATAATAATAATCCCATAAACAATTTAATGCCGATGGAGTAAGTTTCTATAATATAAAGAGCTGCTAACGGCCACACAAGTGCGGGTCCTATATCATTGATTTCTTTCCTGCATGCACAAAGATAAAATCTGTATTTAATTTCTTTAATCATGTTACATTATTTAATTAAGATATAAAGAGATTTGAGATTAACTTTTTATCTGTAAAAATAACAAAAAAGAATTCGAAGTTTTCAAACTCATGATTGATAATAATGTGACCCAAATGAACATATGTAACATAATATACATACGTATACATAGGCATATAAAAAGGAAAAAAAGTTGTATATATATAAACCTTAAATTAAATAGTGGTTTAGGTTTTGTCCACTTGGCACACATGAAGATCATTAGTTACATATGTACCTCAATATTGTTAGGCCACCAAGCTGATTGGTTAGTAGGGACAAACAATAACTACAGTTTGGAACCGCCCATAAAATAAAAAAGGAGTGAGTATAAGAAAAATGATGGCAATTATATAAAATAAAAGAATCATGCATATAGATTAAGCATAGGGTTTGTAAAAATATTTTTTTGGCTCTATCAAACAGCATAATTTGCATTGACTTTCATTATCATGCTCGTCACCCTCGTGTCACTTTCTTATATTATCTTTTATGTGCATAAAAAAAAAAGTCACAAATATACACGCCCATATCATGCGGTTTTTATTGGAGTCAATGTTCTTACTTTGCACCACACTATTGGTACATATCTTTGGTCTATTTTTTGATATGTGATATAATATTAATTTTGATTGGCAACTAATTTATTATCTATACAACAATTGAAGATATTTTCAAAAGAAAACATTGGAAAATTAATGTAATTCTTACGACTTTTCAAGTATTTTAAATATTAAACAAATGTTTTTCTTTTGCTTTTTCATGTTAAAAGTGTTGAAACACTAACAACCACCAGATACGAATGGTCAACGGTTAAAAATTAAAAAATTTCCTCTGTACTTATGATTTGCCTTGATCATAAGAAATGCAACCTACACAAATTGCAATTCACTTTTGGTGTACTGATCTTTATATGGCAGATCATGGCATAGGTGAGGATCATACTTTCTCCCTCATTTTTCACTATTTTAGAGTTCATTGTTAGAGAAATTAAGGGTCAATGACCGAGTTAAGAGTCATCGATTGATAAAATTGATCTGCTGGGAGAACAAAAATGTTAGTAAACAATAAAAAGACACAAGAAATTATAGTGGTTTCCTTAATAATGCAGGGTACGTCCACTGTAGGACTCCGGTGGTTTCACTATGACTGCTAAAAAGCGTTACAATGAATCGTTTTGAGAAGAAAGGGATGAGAGAGAGAAATGTATGTTAGAAAATACAGTAAATAATAGAGAAATATGATGTAAGTGAGCGTGGGAGCTTTTGTGTGTTGTAGAAGCATGCCGAACTGTGTGCAAATGCCTTGCATTTATAGTTGATGAGATTCTATGAGTTGTTTCTTGATTCTCTGCGTGATATGGCCTTCAATCTGCGATATTCCTTTCCTTCTTAGGCGCTGCATGACTTTACTTAACTAGTTCTGTCCATAATCGACCGGTCAATCGTGGTTTCTTGTCTATTTTGAGTTGATTCGGCTTCTTTGTTGCCTGATTGCTGGAGATATTATTTTCTTATGTGAAAGACAATCAATTTCATCCAACGAGAGGGTATCTTGTGGCCTAAGTCGATCGTTGACCTTTTTCCTCATTAATTCTTCTAGTTCGAGCAGTTGATTTCTTTCATTTTCTGGTGGATTCTGCTGCCAAAACCCGTATAAGGAATGTCTTGAGTATATTCTCTTGTGGCTTGATGCCCAAGGCTGTTCGTCGACTCGTGGGATCGACTAATGGAGTTGATTAGTCACTAGTCAACTTTGCTTGCTCGGAGAGTCGCGATAACTTATTTAGTAACCTTCCGAAGCCCGAGTTGCCGCATGTATGGTGAGAGATGATGTACGAAATCTAATATCAACAGTAATTATATTATTTTCTAGAACGATTGCCATGCATGCCAGCAATATAGGACTTCATGGCCTGAAACGTGTTTCACGTGTTTATCCAGCTAGTCTTCTAACTCAGCATACACCACGTGGATTGACGTGTAAGCATCTTAATCAGTAAAAAGATTGCCACATAAGCAATTTCAGACTAATTTAACAAATGCCACATCTGCCACGTCAAAAACTCCATAACAAATTTCCAACATTTTTTTCAGATTATTACTCAGTACATTTTAGTGTATGTAAAGTGTCAATTTTACCTATACATAAAAAAAAAGTGTAGATAAAGACCTTCTACACAGTTTTACCGATACATTTTGGCATTTTTACAATGCGTGGGTGAAGGGTTTTTTTCTACACATATTGAGGTTTTACTTAAATATTTTTTCTTGTAGGTACCAGAAAACAAAAAAGAGCTTTAAAAAAATAAAACAGAAAACAAGAAAGAAGTTACTAATCATGCATCACACTTTGCCTATTTTTCACCATGAAACAGATAGCTAGTTGATTTGTAAGGTTCAAACATTATAACACCACACATTGTGTTTTGATTCATTTGGTACAATTTGATTTAAGAATCTAATCTCAACTAGTATTTAGGAGAGAAAAAAAGAGGTGTGTTTAGGATTTTAAAATCCTGTTTAAACCTATGCTTTGAAGATTTCTTTTTAACGTCATTTTAAATAATTAGTTGTTATTATGACCTTTTATTTTATCTTTATTAATTAAATGACAATTATTTATTTTTTTATTAGAGTGAGATAAATAATATTTTCTATCATTTTGAGTGTTATTATTGGTTTTTTTTTTTTTTTTTTTTTTTTTTTTTTTTTTCTTTCCTAATACGAAAAGGACATTACACAATTCTACTTAAACGTCGATGAGTCCCTTTCCCACTCATAACATTACACACTCAATACCACATAAAGCATTGGTCGGACAGGTATCCTAAAATGAGACAATAGAATATCAAGCCATGGGCGCACATTCCGGAAGGCAGAAAAGGAAATGCATCTTTTAGTGCTCCACCAACATATTGATGGTAGTGATTTCAAGATTTGAGCCGCCTAAGTTTGACAATCTGAACCTATACTCAATAGTATTAACAAGCACTGGATGCCACCTATAATGTGTCGTTTTTTCACAATTCAAATCCTCATTTTCAAACTATATATTCCAGTTTAGATTACAGTTCATATGTGTTTTCAAATGTCAGTTCACTCACAATTTAAAGCTCCGTTCATTTCACCGATTCGAGTTTTACTATAATAAAAAGCTCTCAGAAACAATCACATTTAACTTTTTTGCTACAGTAAAAATCTCTCATATAAAGTCACATCTCAACTCGAATTAAAAACTCGAATCAACGAACTAAACGGGCCCTAAATATCTCTATTCATATACTAAAATTTACATAAAAAAAGGTTCAGATTGCCTAAATTCCACTGAGAATATCATAAAGGAATTATATATATAAATGTTCCAGTAATTAATATAATGGTAATTTTATATATATTTTTAAATATTTAACATGTACACGCAATTAGTCAAAACTAATCGGCTAATTGGCATTTATTAGGTTAAAACTCCCCAACATTGTCTATTCATAGTTTGTTAAGGCCGTAGGCCATTTTTAAACCAGTCCCTTAAATTTGGAGCATGTAAAAGGCCATATTTAGTTGCATCATGTTTTCCAACCATGCATTAACTTCTATCGTTAATATTAATGATTCAATTATCTAATCTTATAGTCAACATGAAATCATGAAATACATATATAATATAACCAGATGCAATCAAAATACAGATCATCACACCACTAAGAAAATCCTATAAACCATACGATTGCCTAATCTCTCTCTCTCCCCTATCGACGTGGGTCCTTTATTCTCGTATATTTCCATATTATAGCATGCATTTCTACGATATTATGCTTTTAATATTAGTTGTTTTTGTAACTCAATATTATTTTAGTTGCTTAATTAATATAGTATATGATTTGCCCATGCCTTTATGCTCATTGACGGAAGAAAAATAAAAATTAACTGTTAGATTAACATCATATGCTATATATATATATATATATATAATAATAATAATAATCGCTAGCTAGCTAGTAACTATTGGCAATTACATTATAAAATCAACACATGCATGATATTTTAACTGACTAAGAAGATAAAAAATTAATATATATTTCTAGAAGAAAATATATTATTTTTTAATTAGTAGTACATGTCTACAGTATGTAACGTGACAATAAAAAGGATAAATTAGCAAAAGTAACACAGTGAAGACAAAAGATAAGTGAAAAAAAAAACCCTAAGAAACAACTAAGTAAGAAGTTATTTGATTAAATTAAAAAAGAGCAAATTTTAAAATTGGTGGTTTGTTTGTACGTAGGACCACTATAAGGTAAGGTTCTCAAATCAATAGCCACAAACACTATAAATTAAAGTCCATGTTGTAATCATCATCACCACAAGCCTCCATAGTCTCCCTTTATATTGTCCACCTTCCAACACTATCATCACTTTTGTCGGCCGCTTTCATTTTCCCTTATTATTTCCATCCAAAAGAAAAAGAAAAAAAAATCCCAGTTTGGAGTTAGCTAGTTTGTTTCTCCAGCTCCTTGATTTTCTCTCCCACAGAGATTTTCCTCAACACCAAACATCTTTATTCCTATCGAAGTTTCTGTACTCATTATTCTCTCTCACCAAATAAACATGACTACTCGCCAAGAATTCCTCACTCTTCCAAGAAGCTCAAGCACAAGCAGCAACAGATCTTCAAGAAAAATCATCCCTGCAGCTTCCGCAAATCATTTCAGATCCTCTTCTTCATCGTCAGCCACGATCAATCTCTCGCCGGAGACCGACGGAGTCTCTGATAAGTTCGATCTTCTCCGAAACCGACACCGGCATCACAATAACCTAGCCAAAAGTACTCAATACAGGCTCTCTTCTTTCTTCCGCTCTCTTTTGAATATTCTCTCCTTCCCAACCATTCTTCCCACCTGCAAGTGGCTTACAATCCCTTCGCAGCTCTCCGTGACGCCTTCCCTTGGGCGAAAAGTCACCGGAACCCTATTTGGGAACCGGCGCGGCCATGTCAGCTTCGCCGTCCAGCTTGACCCCCGTTCGGAGCCGGTATTGCTCTTGGAGCTTGCCGTGTCGACGGCGTCGCTGGTGAAGGAGATGGCGTCGGGGCTCGTCCGAATCGCGCTCGAGTCGGAGAAAACCCCAGCGGCGCACGGGCGGGGCGCCATGCAGGGGAGAAAGCTGTTTCAGGAGCCGACATGGACGATGTACTGCAACGGGAGGAGGTGCGGGTACGCGGTGTCACGCACGTGCGGGGAGTCGGACTCGCACGTGCTGAACGTCGTTCGGAGCGTGTCGGTCGGGGCGGGGGTTATTCCGGTGGTGGAGGACGGGCGGAAGAAGGGTGAATCGGAGGGCGAGTTGCTGTACATGAGGGCTAAGTTTGAGCGAGTCGTGGGGAGCCGTGACTCGGAGGCGTTTTACATGATGAACCCGGATGGGAATGGTGGGCCCGAGCTCAGTATTTTTCTTCTTAGGTTATGAAAAATATATATATATATATATATATATTTATAGAAAAAAAGGGGGAAAAAAAAAATAAAACTTCCATATAGTATTGCCTGGTTTGGTATAGGTTTAGGTAATTGCAAAATGTTTGATTAGTGATTCCATTTTCTGTGTATTGTATCGACCTTTTTTTTTTTTCTTGATCGAATTTTCCTCTTTGGTCATGTAAACTCATGTGGGTAATTTGTACCATGTTTTTTGACACTTAAAATATGTAATTTAACCTTAAAAAAATGTCCATATGTAGATAAAAAAAATTATTAATAGATAAAGTTAATCCTAATTCTGTCTGAGCTGTTAACAAAGGCTAGTACTCTTTGATTACTAATTAAAAATGTATTGTGTCAGATAATGACCTTTTCCATATTGTTTGCTTTGTGTGCGTGCGTGCCTTCACGTAGGTCATGACTACTCGTAAAAAAAAAAAAAAAAAAAAATTAATTAATTTATCAAAGTATTGTGCCGGATTAATTGGCACGCTTGTCGTTTTTCCACCTACGGAAACACAAATACTGACAAAGACACCCACAGATATATATATATATATATATATATAAAGAAAATTTTCTATATCGAGGAGTTTTAAAAACCGAGGTCAATTATAAAATGTGTTATTATAGTGATATATGAAGTATATGCTATGCCTGTAAGAGTTGTAAAGTAAGATGAAAATTTATGTTTTTGATTTAAATTATGAGAATTTTTTTTGGTGTTTCTTATTTTTTAGGAACATCGGTATTCTGTGTTTATTAACCGTCAGATTTGTAATACTTTTTTAATTTAATTTGACTTTTGATCAGATTTAACACAGATCTGAAGGCTGACAAGCAAAAAATATCTGTATTCTCAAAAAAGAAAGAACACTAGAGAAAATCTCTTAATTTATATAAGCTTTAATTTACATGTAGCAAAGAAGAGAAAGACAGAGAACGAACCCATAAAATTCATACATATATAAGCACTTCATAAGCAATATTTAGCTGGCTAGATATGAACTTTTTTATGCCAAGGTTTGAGCTCTAGTTATGAGACCTAACACAAGGTGTGTATTAGAAGATTGGCTGAACTAATTCATTTTTTTTTAATTAATTCATCACACAAGTGCACTAATAGAGTCTCTTTTGCGGATTTCTTTTTTCTTTTTGACTTTTTGATTAGGACAAGGTATTAAAATAAATCGAATATTTCTTCTCAATATATATTTTTCACATTTATATATTTTTGTATCTATATTTTATACGTATATTTGTATCTATATTAATTTTAATAGTTACTTTTATATTTACCCATCAATAGATATCATTGTCTTAGCCGTAAGAAATTAATTTTATAGTCAGAATAAATGAGATATTTGGCTAAAAAAATTTATAACAATTATTAAAAATAAATTCTTATTACGTCACGTTATCAAATTTTTATATTTAATAATAATTACTGATAAAAATATAATCATTAAAAACTCATTCATATATATCTATATTTACATTATATTTCTAAGACTTTAATTTAGGGTCCTTTGTCGTCCTTAGTGGAAAATAAAGCTATCATCCAAATAGTGGCCCCAAAATAGTTGCTCATGACAAAAAGAGCATCTTTCTAGGAATCACTGTCATGCACAACACTAACAGCGATGCATATTTCTCCAATATATGTGGAGAGATCCGATCACCTTCATACATGACGCCAATATATATGGCCTTTTTCTTTTAAAGAAAAATTTTGCAACTATTTTCTTATGCTAGCTTTTCCATGTTCCCTACCATTAACGCATTGGGATTTTTTTTTTCTCCTTTTCGATGAGCTTCGATTAATGTAATATTGTCCAACCAGTTATATTCATGACCATATGTAATTGCCTCTAAAAGCTCTAAGAAATTAACAGGCTAGGGGTAATAAATTTCTGATTTTAAATTCTTGGCGGTTGGTGGCATGAATTTGTGTTTAAGTGCATGCTAATTGAATTAATTTGCATAGTAGTATGATAATTAATTATTTTGTAATTATTTCCTTTTTTTTTAAGTCAAACGATATGGTTGGGTGGGATGGGACTGGGGCATAACAAGGCGTTCGAGTTTGATCCAGCATGTATCGAAAGAATGTTAAGAGTTTGGTGTGGAATAGAGTGACATACTTAACCAAAGATTAGTTGTGTGATCTCAATATATAAAACAGAACTTGCATAACATTATAAATCTGTTTCTTGTTATCTGGCATGAAGGTAGTACTCGATATTTACTGTTATACATATGTGATAAGTACATAATTTCATATATCTTTTCTAATTAATTTTCCCATGTTACTTTGTTTTGTTTTTGAGTGTTTTTGTGTTTTATTGTTTTTTTTTTGGTGTTTTATAGGTTTTTAAATCAAAAGAATGAAGAACACATCAATGGCTTGGTCGGAAGCTTTCCGGAGTTGATTTAGACGTCAATTTGGAGAAAACACCAATGGACAGCTTATGGGCGCCTTGGCACCACTGTGCACGCAAAACAGCATGCTGGGCAGAAGACGGGTCGGAAGCTTTCCGGAGTTGATTTAGACGTCAATTTGGAGAAAACACCGAATGGACAGCTTATGGGCGCCTTGGCACCACTGTGCACGCAAAACAGCATGCTGGGCAGAAGACATAGCGCTTAGGCGCTACTGGACAATGACGCGGCGCTACTGGACAGCGCCGCGGTGCTCCGGAGCAACTCACGTAGTGCTGCAGCGGTAGGAGCGTGGTGCTGCAGCGGTAGGAGCATGGTGCTGCGGCGCCGTGCTGTGACTTGGCCTCCAAGAAACCCTTGTTTTGACCCCGAAAATTGCCCTATTTGACCTAAATTTATATGACGTTTGGTTCATGGATTCAGAATCATGATTCAGAATTATTCTTGATTTATGTGTATTTTTTTGTGAGAAAAAACACTGTAACGAGCCACGAGCCACGAGTCACGAATCATGATCCGAACTATGACACGAATCCACCAACCAAACGCACACTTAGAAATTTATAAATAGGCAACTTAGCGCCTGATTAGAGAGCTCTTACCATTATTTTCCAGCTGTCAAGAGATAAAGAAGAAGAAGAAAAAGAGGAGATTCTTGAAGATTTTTCTAGTTCTTTCTTCCCTTCTCTCTTTATTTTCTTTTTAATTATGTTAGGTTAGGTTTTGTTTTGGTTAAGGGTGATTTTAAAACCCTAGACATGGATTTATGTTTTAATATTTTAATATTATTTTTCAAATTTCTATTGCAATTGTTTATGTTCTTCCAATATTAATGTTCATGATTGTTCTTGTTTTGTTTGTGTGGCCAACCAAATAGGACTTGAGAATATTCTATTGCTAGATTAGCAGTCTTGATCCGTAATTGTCTTGATTTTCTTATCATCAGTAGTGAATTGTGGTCAACAATTGTGGGAGGCTTTTGTTTGATTGCATGTGGAAATACTCTAGGTTGAATGATCCAAGCTTGTGTGATTGTTATCTAGATCAACCTATCTTTCTCATTATAATGCTTTCTTTGGATTGAATCTAGAGAGCTTATTCCAGGTTGTTTGAGGAAAAGAGATTAAGTGAAGTGCTTGTTTTGCTTAATGACGAACTAAGGAAAGATTGAGGTACCAGAGTTTGTTGCTATCTACAGTTGGTAATTTTAATAGAAAATTGGAGATAATATTGCATTTCATTATGATTTCATTGTTTAATGGTAGAGATTGATTCTTTGACCATTATTTAATTATTATTGTTTTCTTCTTTATTTATTACTAGTTTTGTTTTCTTTTATTTTATCTAGTTAGATTAATAGTTCAAAATCATTCTTTTATATTTTTGTTAGTAAACTTAATAACATATTAATTAAATCTCAATCCTCTGCGAGAACGACCCTTACTCAACTACTATACTATATTATAATGACATTTTAACAAGGTTTATAAATTTGTTTTCTTGTTTTTAGGTTTTCTTTTATTTTTGATATACACGTGAAAATATCATCAATATGGGACATGTTTGTTTCACCGTACTAGAGTATTATATTGTATAATAATACATAATATAATGTTTAATGTGAGTATCGTATTGAATAAACTAATATAAATGATTAATATAGTATATATTGTATTATTGAATATGAGTCATTTATTGTGTATTGTATTGTATTATTTTATCTGAAATCCATGATTCATTTCGGTGTTGAGCCCGACTGACGGTCAGGGCCGACATAGAGTCATGTTGGGCCTATAATGTTTAAAAATTTGAGGGGCACAATACAAATTTATATTTTTTAAAATTATATTTTGATCCCAATTTTTTTGTAAAATTAGATTTTGACCCTAAAAATATTTACAAAATTACGTTTTGATCGCAAAACTATTGAAAAATTTTATTTTACCTAAAATTTTTGAAAATTTATATTTTGACCATGAAATTTTTGATATTTTACATTTTGACTCCTTATATAATACATTATGACACCAAACACTGTATTGTATTAACAATACAATACAATATAATGCACCTTATATAATAAAATACAATACAATCTACTAAACATGGCTATGATCATCTGTGCAAGATTCATCAAATAAGTAAATTTTAATATTTCTACTTAAGTGTTAGGCACCAGTGTCGGAGATATTGAACAACAAACATTAATAAAATGCGAATCTTATTATATATGAGACGCACAGTATTAGAATCCATCTTTTACTAATTGGGATGCTAATTAATAGTAGAGGTGCTTCAAACATTTTCTTAAAACATAGAAAAAAAAAATGAAATTATTCAACCGAAGATTCGGGTTTGAGTTACCAAAGCTTACTTATTTGTAGCTTCTACCCACCATGGCCATTGGAACCCGAGCTTTCGATTCGCCAATAGTAGGGAAGAACTGGTGAAGCACGAAATTGAGAGTACAGTAACAACAAATATATATATATATATATATATATATATATATGGTCGTGCATGGCGCTAAATCAACAAATATCAAAACACAAACTTGTGGATTATTTAATAAAGAAAAACAT